GCCACGCCCGGTGGCCGGCGTCGAGGTACTCCCGGCACCACTTCAAGGCGATCTGCACGCCCGACGAGCAGCACCGCGAGATGACCGTGAAGGTCAACAGCTGCACGGCGCGAAACTCCGCACGCAGGTCGGGGTGGTGCTCCTCCGGCGTCGCCACGGTCCCTCGGGCGAAGCCGATCAGCCCGGCCATCTCCAGCTGGGGCTCGATGGCTTCCTTCCAGGTGAGTATGTCGGGTCGACCGACCAGCGGAGGGGTGACCGAGATCCTGTCCGGCGTAAACTTGAAGTAGCCGTAGCTCGGTGCAATCCCACCCGCCGTCACCTGGGACGCCGACATCGTCGACAGCCCACTCCGTCGACCTCCGACGTCACCCCGCGAAGAGCTTGCAGCCGCCGACGACTGCATCCCTCGCGCCTGAACGCCGCCGACTTCACCGGCGTGTATCACACCTCTTTGCCGCGACGTGCCTCCAGCACTTCTGCCGACTTGACCACCACCGGTGTTGACGCCCACGTCGACGCCGCCTTCGTTGTTCACCGGACGAGGAGAGGCAGGTCGAGACGGGTGCTCCGTTGCCCACATGGAGCGGAGTCCAGCCTCGACGACCGGCCAGGGCAAGTCGCCATACTCATTGGCCTCGTGCTTCCTCCTCGCGTTCTCCAACCGTGCCTCTAGGGTGTCCACCACCCCCGCGTCACCTACGGCTCCTACCATAGTGACTACAGCACAGTTGCCGGCCTGCAACTACGAAAGAGGTAAGTGGTGTCTACGTCGACCCGACTGAAAGGTAAGTCGTGTGCCGTCCACGCTCACCGCACCATGCGGAGATAACTGCAGCAACGGGAGCTAGGCTACGGGCTAGGCACGTGTGCTCGTGTGATCTCTGCGTTCGTTAGTCCTTAGTCGTTTTCCTTGTGCACACACTACTTGCTAGTTCACGGGGAAAACTGGCAAGAGTTTCACTAGGAAAAGTTCAGAACAATGGGACAATGAAGTTGGCATAGCAAGACTACATCAGAGCAAGCATTCAGGTCGGCCAACTGCCAGCGCAGCTTGGTCGACCGCGTTCCAGCACGACTTCGTCGACCGCGCTCCAGCAAGGCAAGGTCGACGGCGTGCCAACGTCGCAGGTTGACGGCGTGACAGCGTTGCTCACGCAGGACAGCAGTGCACCCTGCTTCGCAGTTGTGCGCAGATGATTGGCGCGCAGAGTCTTGTCACCTGCACAGCGCACACACCACGTCAACCTCAAGCTGACGACTGCCTCTGATCTGCCACGACGACCTCGGGATACCACCACCGAGGTCGGGCTCGCCAACTTTGCCTGGGCGACCGTCGCACTCCTCCGCAGCACTTCGTCACCCAGGTAACCTGGTCGACCAGGCAACCACGTCGACCAGCAGCTCCCGTACGTGCCCGTCGACCTCCCAAGTCGACGACCACCTCCACGTCGACCTCACCAGGTCGACGACACCATCGGTCGACCTCCTCCAGGTTGACATCCCCTCTGGTCGACCAGCTCCACGTCGACCAGCACTCCTGGTCGACCTGCTCCTCGTCGACCAGCACAGTCGTCGGCCGACCACCCACGTCGGCCACCCGAAGCTGGCGTCACGAAGTTGACGCCCCGCTACTCGATGCCCAACTGCTCGGCGTCCTGAGTCGAGGTCGACGTCGGCCCCTCCTTCGTCGACCACCAGGTCCAGTTGACCACTTAACAGGTCGACCAGCAGTCCGTTAGCCGACTGCCGAAGTCGGCTTCCCCAAGTTGACGTCACCAAGTTGACGTCCTCCGCAGGTCGACACCCAAGTCGACCTCCCTGAAGTCGGCGCCACCCTGAAGTAGGCGCCCGTGCAGTGGTCCCCCGTGCAGGTCGACCTCCTCGTCGACCAGCTCACCCACTGCTGAAGGCCGGCTGCTCCCCTCACACCTGACCACGAAGTCGGCTCCGCCCAAGCGAGGACGGGGCCAATACCCAACTCCCGTTGACAATGTCAGCTTGTAGGACCAGGCTGTCCGAGCAGGCATCCAAGTATGCCTTGGCTGCGTGGATTACTGCTTCTGCACCTCCCGGCACTGCCACCCCGAACTGTAGCGGTAGAAAGAATTCGCGGGCCGCCTCTCCCTTGGCTTGTAGGGCAGCCTTGGCTGCCAGCCTTGTCAGACATTCGCCGATCACGATTGGCCTAGCCCCTCCCCCCGGCTTGGCGAGGGCTATGAGTCGTGATGCAATCAGAAGGTTCGTGACCGAGCCTGGCAATTTTCCTCCCAGGATGGTGTTAACCAAGGTGTGCAGATGGGTGCTGACCATTGCATTGGTAATTGCCGCGTCGCGTAGGTGCTCAAATGTCATGCCTGTCGGTCCGGCTCCCACCCCACTTTCGCATCTTCCCAAAATTCTGGCAAAGTTGGGGTAGGGGATTGATAGCTCAACCTACTAGCTTACCCTGGTCGTATCTGATTCACGTGTGTTTCGAGGGATATACTGTACTTGGCTGTTTTGGGTACGCATATGTCCCCATGTGAACTACCATTCCAATAGCTAACTAGTATGGTCAATAGTGCGTTCCTAGTCATCCTACTCACAGCACTTTCTTAGTGTATGTATTTGAGGTTTAGGGTGAAGAACTCTTATTTGTCACTATTACAGATAAGGATTGCGTGGAGATAAGGGAGTGTGTTGATTCTTGAGTATTAGCAAAAACAACCACAGTTAATTATATGGATTTCTGGTTTGTTTTGGGTTTACGACCTTCGGTTTTTTCGCCCTCCCACACCCTCACCATCCCCCTTCCACCCTCCCAAACCATGCTTGCTCTTGTTGCAACAACAATTTCGAATTCAACATGCTCATCTCAAGCCTGCCAAGCTCTATCTCTAAATTCAAGAGGCTGGCGGAGCTGTACGTTGGTTATGGGTCTTTGGTGTGCTATGTGGTGACAACCACGTACCATGGGGTAACCACAAGATGCGAAACACTATCTCCAGACTCACGACGCTAACCTAGCTGTACGTAAGTTGCATATGGATGTTGGTAGCTTGGTAACTATATGGTTAATGCTAAAGGTCTAGCTATATTTCAAAAATGAAGAGGCCAACGGAGCGGCACATTGCTTATGGGTCTTTGGTTTGGCGTACTCAAACTCTCGAGTCCAAGCTTAAGGGGCTAACTGAGCTGCTCCAAATTCAATCTACTCAACGCAAGCGTGCCAAGCTCTATCTCTAAATTTATAAGGCTCACATACGGCAACCATGTGGCTACCACGCAAGGTGACCATGTTCTAACCACACTAGGGGTCAATTTGTATCCTCAAATTCAAGAGGCTAGCAGAGCGATTCATTGCTTGCCAGATCGGTAAGGTGCGGTGTGGTGGAAATCGGGTAAGCTACATGGTAACCATGTGGCAACCACAAGATGCCAAAATGACGTCTTTATGAATCCAAGATGCTAACCGAGCCATTGCTCATGCCTCCTCAATGATCTTAGCGGGTCTATTTGCTAGTTGGGGGGAATAGAGTGGATAGCGACGGTTGGGGAGAGATATTGCTATCCGTGGAGAATGAAGCGAACTGGTGCGGTAGGGGTGAGGTTGCTAGCGGGGGAATGGATTGAACTAGTCATGAGTGTGAGAGGTTGCTAGTTGGGGGGAACAAAGGGAACTAGTGCGGTGGGGGTGAGAGTTAGCTAGTTGGGGAAAATAGAGGGACCTAGTGCGGTGGGGGTGAGAGGTTGCTAGTACAGGGGAATAGAGGAAACTAGTGCGGTGGGGGTGAGAGGTTGGGGGCTGGGGGGACTAGAGGGAACTAGTGCGGTGGGGGCGAGAGGTGCAAGGGCTGGGAGGAATAGAGGGAATTAGAGCAGTGGGGATGAGAGGTTGAGGGCTGGGCGGAATAGAGGGAATTTCTGCGGTGGGGGTGCGAGGTTGCTAGTTGGGGGGAAGAGAGCGAAGTATTGCGGTGGAGGTGAGAGGTTGCTAGTTGGGGGGGATTGAGGGATTAGTGTGATGGCGGGTGAGAGGTTGCTAGTTGGGGGGAATAGAGGGAACTAGTGTGGCGGGGGTGAGAGGTTGCTATTTGGGGGGAATAGACGATTAACCCTAATATGCAAGCATCATTTTTTTATTGTAATGTCTTAGGTGTGTGGTGCCGCTAACGTCAACATGGCGAGTGGGCACAACGGTGTGAGCGGGGACACGGAAAAACATCTGAAAATCAGTATAAAGCACGCGACCCTAACTGTTGTGATCATGCAATGTGGTCTATCGAAGCTATTGGGGAGGGAGACGTCGTTCAACGACTTGATCCACGTTCTCGTGGCTTCATCACTCGATGTCGTTAGCAAACTGATCAATGCAGCGACGCATTCATACAAGCGTACGGGGATGGTAACGTTCTAAGCCAACCCTTCGATCCTTTGCGGCCAGCCTAACCCAACTCAATCATAACCCTCTCTTCCCCAACCTCAAATACATACACCACCCCCTAACCAGCCCCATAACTTGCAATGCTACCATATACAACACACTCCATTATCACCCCCCTACTACTCTCCATTTATCAGGGTTTCCCACCATGAATCAGTGATCGATCAAAATATGCCTGCTTGAAGGAACGTTTCCCAGCCCGCACAAACTTGGGTCAAAAAATGTCATGTATACAAGATTGGGTCGACGATTGCGTTTACCATTTATCGATCAGCCTGGGCCTTGTCGGTGTTAGCCCCACTTTCTGTGACCACGCGCGATGCAACTGCACGTCTTGCTATTCGTAGTCACCTGCCGTCCGCTGAGCGCGCGCACTTTAGCGAGTACAAGACCGCTAGGACTCTGTACGATGCTATTGCTGTGTGCTACTCCTCCCCTGCCACTGCTGCCCTTAGCCGCCTCATACCGCCGTACCTGTTCCCTGACCTAGCTGCTTTTGCCATAGTCCCTGACCTCATTACGCACCTCCGCACTAGTGACACCCGCTACTGCGCTGCACTTCCTATCGAGTTCTATGCCGCGAACTCCCCGTATGTACATCACTCTCTACTACCTCGTCACATGGCTCCCTTACTCCCTTCGCTCGGTCAGGGACCACTTCCTCTCCCTTTGCCCCACCACGCTCACCATTGACCTCCTCGAGGAGCGCCTCCTAGAAGTTAAGAGTATAGTCGCTGTAGGAGCCTCTCGTGGTGACCCTCGTGCCCCTTTCTTTAAGGGGTGCTCCTCCGTTCACCTTTTGCCTTCTGTTGCCTCTGCTGCTGCTGTCTACCTCGTTGGCACCGAGTCGGTCGGCACTGCGTCTGCTCCTATTGGGAGGCGCCGCAGCGGCAGGAGCAAGGGGGGCAAGGGTGCTGGGGGAGACAGCGGGGGCGGCGGTGGTGGAGGTGGAGGCGGCGGTGGAGGTGGGGGTGGAGGTGGGGGTGGTGGTGGGAGTGGGGGCTTCGGTGGCGGGAATGGAGGTGGAGGCGGCGGAGGCAGCGGTAGTGGGGGTGGAGGTGGCGACGGCAGCAGCGGCGGTGGGGGTGGCGACGGCGGTGGTGATGGTCGGGGTGGCGCTATGCAGCGGGGAGGCTTTGGCGGTGGGCAGCACCAGCAGCAACAGCGCCCTCGTGAGACCCTGTCGCCCCAGCAGCTTCGTGAGTGGTACGCTGGGCATGGGAGGTCTGGGGGTGCTCGTCCCTGCGCTTACGTTCTCCGCACCGGCGACCGCAGTGGGGAAACGTGTGGAGGACCGCACGCCATGCAGCGCTGCTTTGGTCGCCTGACTAATGCTTGGCGTACTCAGTTTCCCGACTCCACTGAGATCCCTCGCTGGGGTGATCTGCTTAAGTCGGGGGTTGCTATCTTTGATCTTGATTATGGTGCTATCCTTGCTGCTATGTATGCTGTGTCTATTAGTGCTGAGGGAGACTGTTACCTGTCTGTACCCGGGCATTGAGGCTGCTGTTCTAGGTGCTAGTGAGTCGGCTGCTTCAGGTGCTGGTGAGTCTGCTGCCCCAGGTACTGGTGAGTCTGCTCTCTCAGGTACCGCATCGGCTCAGGCCTTACACACCTTCACCCTTGACTCGGGTGCTTCACGCTCCTTCTTTCGTGACTCCACCACACTCTTGCCGCTTAGTCGGCCAATGGCAGTCTCTCTGGCTGACCCCTCTAGGGGTCCGGTCCTTACACACTCCTCCACGGTCCTGCCATGTCCGGCGGTCCCGTCTGACTCTCTGTCTGGCCTCCACCTCCCCTCGTTCTCCACAAACTTGGTGAGTGGAGCTGACCTTCAGGACGGCTAGGTTGACCAGTTCACTCTTGGAGGTCAGCGGGTAACCCACTGTTCGTGTACTTGGACGGGCCGACACCTGGCCACGTTCACCCGTCAGCCTGGGTCGAGCCTGTACACCCTGACTACCGTGTCTCCTCCGGTTGCTGAGTCTCGTCAAGTCGCTGCATCGGGTCAGGTGTTTGCAGCAGCGTCCCCTCCCTGCCTCGTCTCCGAGGCATGGCCTCCCATGTCCTTGCCACTGGTCTTCCCCGGTCTCTCCCTCCCCTCCCTCCAGGGCCTGCCCCTACCTGCGTTCCTTGCATCGAGGGGCGGCAGCGCGCCGCCCCTCACTCCTCCGAGTTTCCTCCCACGGAGGCTCCCTTGCAGACTCTTCACATGGACGTGTGAGGCCCAGCCCGCGTCCGTGGACAGGGTCACGAGCGCTACTTTCTGCTGGTTGTTGACGACTACTCGCGTTACACCACAGTCTTCCTCTTGCGTCGCAAGGGTGAGGTCCCTGAGGTGCTGATCGACTGGATCCACGCTGCCCGTCGTCGGCTCAGCGAGAGTTTCGACTCGAACCTTCCTATTCTGCGTCTGCACTCGGACAGAGGTGGAGAGTTTTCCTGCGGCCTTCTGCAGACCTTTTGTCGTGCGGAAGGCATCCGCCAGACGTTCAAGCTTCCGGCCTCTCCGCACCAAAATGGGATTGCTGAGCCTCGTAGTGGAATGGTCATGGACGTCGCTCGTACGTCCATGATCCATGCAGCTGCTCCCCATTTTCTGTGGCCGTTCGCAATTCAAAACGCGGCACATCATATCAACCTCCAACCCCGGGTCTCCGTGCCGGAGACCACACCCACTCTACGGTGGACAAGGAAGGTTGGTGATGCGCCGTGTCTGGGGATCTCAAGCTTTCGTCCGCGACTTGTCTGCAGACAAGCTGTCCTCCCGTGCAATTCCCTGCGTCTTCCTTGGCTTCCCCCCTGACGCGCCTGGTTGTCAGTTTTACCAACCCACCTCGCGCCATGTTCTGACCTATCAGGACGTCACGTTAGACGAGTCAGTTGCCTACTACCGTCTCTTCCCCTACCGCACTGCCCCCCTCCCCCCCCCCCGTCGCTCTTCCTCGCGCAAGGTCCTCCCCCGGTAGACCCCCTCCCCCCTCAGGGTCCTGCCCTGTCAGGTGTGTCCTAGGTAGACGAAGTCGAGCCTGTCGAGGTAGCTGTTTAATCTGGTGCTGCTAGGGGTGCTGAGCCTGCGGGTGCCGGGTCTGAGGGTGCTCAGCCTGAGCGTGCGGAGCCTGGGGGTGCTGATTCTGGGGGTGCTGAGCCTGGGGTGGCTGAGTTCGGGGGTCCCGAGCCTGAGGGTGCTGAGCCTGCGCGTGTGGAGTCTGGAGGTGCTGCGCCTGGAGGTCCTTCGGGTGCTTCGTCCCGGCGGGAGCCACTCTCTCCACATCAGCTGCGCGAGTGGTTTGCTCGCCGCTGGAACCGTGCTGCTCGAGTTGGTGGTGCTACGGGCGCTGGAGGTCCTGCTGCTACTGGAGCTGCTGGGGGTTCTGGAGCCACTGGTCCCGGAGGTGCTCGTACTGGAGCTACAGGAGCTGCTGGGCCTGGTGGTGCTGCTGGGGCTGGAGCTGCTGGAGGTGCTGAAGGTGGCGGTACTACTGGACCCGGTGCTGCTGGAGATGCAGGCCCTAGTGCTGGTGGAGCTGATGGGGCTTCTAGTGGTCCTGCTAGTGCTGGAGCTGGAGGTGCTGGAGCTGGAGGTGCTGCTGGAGCTGGTGCTCCTTGGGGTGCTGGTGTCGACGCTATTGGAGCTGCTGGGGGTGCGGCTGGAGCTGGTGGTGCTGCAGGAGTTGGAGCTGACGCTGGGGGTGCTGGTGATGTCCGTGCTGGTTCTAGAGGCACTGCGCGGCCGCGGCCATACTTCGTTCTGCTCCTTGAGCAGGTTCTTGGTCTTCCGCCTTCTACTTGTCCTGCTCCTTCCTTTGAGTGTCCACAGCCGGTTTAGTCCGGGTTACAGTTACAGCCAGCCTCCCCATTGCATGCTCCTTCTCCTTACACTAGTCCGAGAGGAGGTCTTACGGAGCATCGTGAGCCTGAGTCTCGTCCTGCGTCACCTATTTGTGCTGCTCGCACTGGTTGTCGTGGTCCGCGTCAGCGTCTTTCTCCTGTCCCTGGCATGCACCAGATGGCTCTGCGTCCTTCCACTGCTCCACAGCGTGTCCATCTGCCGTCTCCTCCTGCGTCCTCTCTTCTTGCCCTTGCTGACCCGGAGTCTTACTCCCTTCGTGCTGCTAGTCCTACTGTCACGCGTCTCCTGGCCAGTGTAGTCATTGACCCTTCCTTTGAGTCCACTGCTGCGTCTGCCTTAGTTGCTGAGCTTGTCGACTTGGTGCTCACTGTTGTCTAGACTACGCCGTGAGTCTTGTTGCTGAGTCTAAGTCTGTCTGTCCTCCGTCCATCGGGGGTGAGTGTGCTCTTGGCACGGACGTCCTTGAGGACAGGCAGGAGGACTTTGAGTGCTTTGCAGTCGCTGTACCTCATCTCATGTCCATGCTGATTGCACTTGAGGGAGACCTGGATGCACACGACATCCCGAGCCCACGCTCTTACGCAAAGGCGATAGAGGGTCCCAACTCCTCACAGTGGCAGTCAGCCATGGACACAAAGATGGCATTCTGGAAGTCCACAGGCACCTACCTTAACGATGTTCCCCCTCCTGGGGTGAAAATCGTCGGTGGCATGTGGATTTTTAGGGTGAAGCGACTGCCGGGTTCTCCGCCTGTCTTCAAGGCGCGTTACGTTGCTCGAGGCTTCAGTCAAAGACATGGAGTTGACTTCTTCCAGACCTTCTCCCCGACCCCGAAGATGACCACTCTTCGGGTTCTGCTGCACATCGCTGTGTCAAACATTATATATGTTGTTGTGTTTGTTTAGGCTACAGTGGGTTAGCCTATAGGGGGTACACAATTCTAGGGTTAGGTACTTGTACTGTTTTCACTGCTAGTCCATTCATTCCTGTTCCGTTATTCCAACATGGTATCGAAGCAGGTCCTTCCTAGGACCGAATTTTTTTTAAGGGCCCACCACTACCTACCTACCTACCTACATGCGCCCTAGGGCGCCTCGGTTTTTTCACGGCCACCTAAGGCCTCGACGGCCCGCCCCTAGAGGCCCCGAACGGCCCACGCGCTCGCCCCTAGCGCCCCCCCCTTTTCGGCCCCGCGATCGCCTCTAGAGGCCCCGTCGGCGCCGCGCTTACCTCCCTAGAGGCCCAGAACGGCCCCGTCGGCCCCGCGCTCACCTTCTTAGAGGTCCCCTACGGCCCCGTTGGCCCCACGCTTACCTCCTTAGAGGCCCCGTACGGCCCCGCGATCGCCCCTAGAGGCCCCGTCGGCCCCACGCTTACCTCCCTAGAGGCCCCGTACGGCCCCGCGATCGCCCCTAGAGGCCCCGTAGGCCCCGCGCCTGCCTCCCTAGAGGCCCTCCTTACGGCCCCGCGATCGCCCCTAGAGGCCCCGTCGGCCTCGCGCTTACCTCCCTAACGGCCCCTTACGGCCCCGACCTCGCCCCTAGAGGCCCCGTCGGCCCCGCACTCGCCCTTAACGGCCCCGACCGGCCCCACGCTCTCCCTTAACGGCCCCGATCGGCCCCGCGCTCGCCCCTAGAGGCCCCGAACGGCTCCGCGCTCGCCCCTAACGGCCCCTTCCTGCCCCGCGCTCGCCCTTCACGGCCCCTCATGGCCCCACGCTCGCCCTTCACGGCAAGTACCATCGTGTCTGGGCTGTACCATCGTAAAGGACTCAAACATCGTGTCGGGGTTGTACCATCGTGAAGGGCTCAAACATCGTGTCGGGGCTGTACCATCGTTAAGTGCTCAAACATCGTGTCTGGGCTGAACCATCGTTAAGGGCTAAAACATCGTGTCTGGGCTGTACCATCGTAAAGGGCTAAAACATCGTGCCTGGGCTATACCATCGTGTCTCGACTGTACCATCGTGTCTGGACTGTAACATCGTGTCTCGGCTGAACCATCGTGTAGGGACTATAACATCGTGTCTCAGCTGAACAAAACCGACCGTCCTACCTGCCTGCCTACTCCTACTGCTGCTCCTATGGCTAGTCCTCCGGTACTAGTTTTCGATGCTGAGGGCCGCCCAGTGAAGTTCGACACCTGGCTAGATGACCTGCACCTCTTCCTACAGCTCACTGCTAAGGAGGACATCTCTCTGTACGATCACGCCCTAGGCCATACCCCTGCCCCTGCTGCTACTGCTGACAGCACTGCTCGCTCACAGTGGCAGACTCGTGATGCCCACGCTCGCTTCGCTATTCGCAACTCCCTGCCGATAGACGAACGCGAGCACTTTGGCCAGCACAAGACTGCACAGGCACTGTACACAGCTGTCCTTGCTCGCTACTCCTCACCTGCCTCTGCCGCGCTAGGCCGTCTCTCCCTCCCCTACCTGTTTCCCGACCTGGCCTCGTTCCACACAGTCGCTGACCTCATCATGCACCTCCGTACTAGTGAGGCCCGCTTCCGTGCCGCCATGCCCGCTGAGTTCCTTGCCACGCACCCCCCCCCACTCTGGCTCACTCTCTACCACCTAGTCACCCGCCTCTCTGACACACTGCGTGCTGTCAGGGACCACTTCCTAGCTCGCTGCCCCACTGAGCTCACCATTGCCCTCCTCGAGAAGGAACTGCATAGTCGCTGTAGGTGCCTCTCGTGGCGACCCCCGTACCCCGTTCTTTGAGGGGTGTTCTCATTCCCCCCTTCTTCCCTCTGTCGCCTCTGCTGCTGCTGTCGACCTCCTTGGTGCTGAGAAGGTCGGTACTGCGTCTGCTTCGAGCGGGCGCCGCAGCGGCAAGGGCAAAGGGGGCAAGGGTGGTGGCGGTGACGGCAGGGGAGGCGATGGTGGGGGCGGTGGAGGCGGAGGGGGTGGTGGCGCGACTGGAGGGGCTGGTGGCAGCGGTGGGGGTGGTGGCGGCAGCGGCGGGGGAGGTGGCAGGGGCGGAGGCGGTG